CCTCAGAGAGGTTTCAGAAAAGGTTAACAGTATAAAGAGGTAAATAAGACACTCCAGTCTTTCAATGGAGCCTGAAACAGAAGCAGGGAAGAATCTAGCATATGTTCATTTACTATTCTCAAAATGAGTCAAATATTACTTACAGTTTAGAGGGTTGTGTAAATGTTTGTAATAAGGTGTTAAAGGGGAATTGAAAGCACAGCCTGTATATGAAGAACCTAAATAATTATTCGACAGACTTACTATTTATAGTGTCCCTGCTTTTGTACTACACCATAGGCTTTTTTTGAAAAAAAGAAAAAAAGAAAAAAAAGAAAAAAGAAAAAAAAAAGACAGATATGCAATGTTACACCTTCCAAAACACCCAAAATTACAAAAATAAAATCCCATAAATGTGAAACTATAGCATAAGTAATTATGAATCATTTCTTTCCCCAGAGGAACAGTGAAAAAGTTATTCCCTCATTAGGAAGCAGTCAGAAATTAATCTCTATAGTGTCCGGAGTTCAAAGCTGTCATACAAAACAGGAAGTGCATTCTGGTATGATTACAGCAAATCACTATGCTATGTTCCTTGATTTGCAAAAGCATAATGATCTGTAATTGCACAGACTTGTATATACAAGCTATTATGTGATATTGCTTAATTCAATTACCCGATACTCAGGTCACTCATTTGAGTGAATATTTCTCATTTTGAAATTAGATACATGAACTAGAATCAGAGAGAAAAGAGGAGGAGAAGGAAGAAAAAACGAGGCAGTAAGATTAAACTCTAACAAGTCATTCAAACACAAAGAGAATAAAAAGCTAAGATATTAGGAAAAAATCTCGATTTCTTTCTACTCTTTCCAGTCTTTCAAATGTGGATGCTCCAGTAACAGAAGAATAATAAACAAGGAGTTTACACAAGTAGATCTTAAGGTTTCAAGATACCTCCATAATATCAATGCAAACATCAATATTAAGACTATATTTGCATTTTGCAGAAGTTGAGACAAGACATAGGCTTTTAATTTTGTGTCTATGGTATTTACTTTCTATCCTAAAGCTATGTTCTGTTTAGGTAAGATGCATAATGCTCAAAGGAAGGTTGAATAGTTCTAAGAAGTCTCAGCAGAGTTCATCAACATTTTGTTTCAGAGATCTTATTTATGTCATGATTAGGATGATCTTATATCGAATATAGATATCTTTTATCTATATCAGATACAGGAGGAACTTTTGTGGGGAAAAAAAAAAAAAGTGTCATTCCTATTCTCCCATGTCATTCCTTTTGAAGGTGGTTTTAAGCTAAAGTAAAACACTTTGGGCTTATCAAGTCCAAAAGAATCCAAATCAAGCAATCAAATTGTAATGACATATAATTTTCTTACTATCTTCCCCAGAGTATGATTTTATGTTTCATCCTTCAGATTACTTGTATCAAAGAATATTTCCTTGTCCTTGTTCAGTTCAGAAGAAAGAACCAAATGGTAAATGTAAGGTATGGTTATCTAAATTTCATTCTAGCACTGGGGTACTTGTGAGACTTGACCATAGGCTGTCATATGGTCCACAACATCTATGGCACAGTCTTGTGTAGTCGAGCCTCTGCTTTTCCTTCTTTGAAAGGACAACACCACCACCGCCCCCTTTTTTTTTGTTGTTTTTTTTACCTGGATTTCCTAAGCAGCCACCAGATCTCCACCTCTGAACATATCTCTAATTCCTCCTCCTACTTGGTACCAATGCTCTCCTCTCAAGGAAAGGATGAGTATCTTCAGACTGTCATGCTATCCTCCAAATGCTTCCTCCCTTTCTTCCCTCTATCTAAACTTCTCTTTGGACTTTGGTATCCACTCCCAGAACAATCTAGTTTAGAATCCTCCTCACCATAGCAAGCCTGTTAGCAAGATGGTTTTGTCAAATTCACTGTGTCTGTCTCCAGAGGTATTTGCTCTTAAAAGTGGGTCCAACAAACAAAAACAACAAAAGTCACAAGCAGAGCTTGTGACACCAGATGCAGAGCTAGATAATGGGTTGAAGTTGGCACACAGCATAAGAGGGATTATGAAGATGGAATTTTATGAAGAAATTTTCACTATTTTGCCAACAGCTGGAGCATGGACCATGTCACCAAATTCTCCCTATGCATCACAAAAGGAATCCCTAACTGTATTCACAAACCTAAAAATCACCTAAAAATCAGTATATGCAAAACCAGACGGTGATGTTGTGTTCTAATCTCATGTGCTCATTAAGTTAAAATTTCTTGTGTCCAGGAAAATGTGCCACAAAGGTACTGCATGTTTGTTTAGTAAACAGAAGCATATACTTACGGCCTGATCCTACTTTAATTTAATTAATTTTAAAGAGTCCTATTAATTCCAGAAAAAAATGCACTTAGAATTTCATGAATAATATGCATGCTATTTCTATTTTAAAGAACATGAGGAATCAAAAAATAAGATAAAAATAAATGCTCTTTTCAACAATCTTTTAATTGTTATAACTTGCTGCCTTAGTTAAGCTATTAATTACAGAAAAGATGACAAGTTTTCTTTTGTAATGTAATTAAAAACTAGATTATTGCTGTCTGAAAAAAAAATTGATATAATGTCACTAATTCAACATTAGACATTGGAAAACAGCAGGTTAGGATTTCATTAACTTATCAGGCATCTAGTTATGTTAAAGTATTTTGCTGGCATTTCAAAAACCATTTGCATATCAATAAAAAGAGAGCTAAACTGTACTAATTAACACTTTGGAAGTGGTTTAGTTGGTACCTTCTAGTTGCTTTGAAATAGTTCAATTGAAGCATAAATGTCTATTTTAAGTAGATTCTGCTTAAAGAATTAAAATGAACATAATCAAAACTTAATTGCCTATGTGATGTTTTCTTCATAACTGGCAGAGAAAGATATGTTTCTTCATATTACTATGTAATAGGTGTTCTTGTTATCAGTTTGCATTAAAACAATGTTGCAATCACTATTCTTTCATGTTTAGAAATTTTAATTCAGAATTGTTGGAAAAAAGGGATTAATATGATTGTCCAGATCTTATGTAGCAATGAAATTACTATACTGGATCAGACCTATAGACTGTCATCCTCACTGATAGTTTTAAGTACCAGATGTTTCCCAAGAATGCAAAAATCCACCCAAACCCAGTCAACAGATGTGTAATAATCTGTCCACATTAAATCTTATTGTAATCTCAAGGGATTTGGTTAAAACCATGAAGCACACGGAACATTTTGTTTTATTTTATTTTGATAGTTTTAACTACTGTATGCCTGAATATTTATTCTCCATATAAGTGCACAGTATTTCTTAAAGTTTTTTTTTCAATTCTAGCTATTTCTTTAGTGAAGTCTACTTATTATGGTAAAGTACACTATAAGGTGGTAAAAGTCAAATGTTTTGCAAAAAGTCCAGAGAAGATTATGTCTGAAAATACAAATGCAGGACTTAACTCCAGATTTGATGTATACTTTCTATTAGGAGCAGAGACACTAGACCGAAGTAGAACCTTTCAGAAAAAAGTTCAGATCTGAAAATTTATTTAGATGAAAATTACTATTCCACAGAATTCCCAAAAAAAAACAAAACAATACAAAATAAAACAAATGAACAAAAAAGAATAGCCTGAAAAAAATAAGAAACACCAAGTCTGTGCTAGAGAACTCACATATACTCCCCAAGAATTGGCAGTAAATGGATAAAATTGATGTGATTTGTGACAGTTTTCATTAGGAGTTGACAGGACCATCTATTTGGACAGCTCTGTCCTAGGAATATCACAGAGGTTTCTCACTGCTAGGCTACCTGTCTATCTGGGCAGCATGAATTTACTGATGGTCTGATTTTCCATTCTCCTGACTTCTGGCCATATGAGGAGACAGCTGACCTGCACAACTGGAAGTCCTAAGCAGAAGGAAGCACATGCAAAAGCTTCTTGAAAACAATGGCCTCTGTCTTTCTTGTTTCCCAAATAGCTTTTCAGAAAGACAGACTGAAAACCTTCCTGGTTCTCAACAGCAGTTAACCAAAAGTTAACCAAAATCTGCCACAGATCAGAACTTTTTTTCTTCTTCTTCTTTTTTGTATGAAATGTAGACACATTTTAACTGAAAATTCTGAATTAATTTTATTCCCTAAATATGTTAAATCCAAGGTATGATTTCTGAGGAAAGTATACCTCTCAGAGCGTGTTGAATAAACATGCACAAGTTTCCACTAAATTCCCAGCTTTCCCATGCTCCCTCCTAGGCAGTGTTGTGAGCCTTGAAAAATGTTGATTCTGTGCTATGAGGCTGTCTGCAATGTGGGTGCTTGACAATTGAAGTTAAATACATATGTATTGTCATATTCATTATATATAAAAGATATATAACAGCAGGAGAGAGTCAGACTTTCAACCTTAAGCAGGAAACAATCAGAATATGATCCAAAATATGATAGCACATGTCACCAATATAATACAGACAGAGAACAAAGATGCAGGGAAAGAAGAAAAAAAAAAAAAAAAAAAAAAAGAAAGTAAGAAAGAAAAAAAAAGAAAAAAGATGAACAGAAACATGAAGAATGTCTTGAATATAACCAGTGAGAAATACTGAAGAAAGGCATAAATACCAATTTATTCACTATCCGGTTCCTGAGTCTAGTATCCATTCTTTATTTTAGACTTTAATACATATATTTTAAAAGAACTAAGAATGAATAAAGCTTCTACCTTCCTAGCCTAGTGGTTAGAGAACTCATCTGGGAAAAGCAATTTCAAGTTTCATTCCTCGACCTCTTGCAAAAACCGGACCAAAAAAAGAAATGAACCTTAGAGCAGACAACACAGCATCCATCTCTTGCCTGAGCTCCTTCCTGGCTGCAGGAAGAAGGTAATACCAGTCCTACCTCTGCCTCCAGTGGATAGTAGAGTGATTAAAAAAAGAATATATATATATATATATATATAAAATAAAAAAATCACTTATGAACAGAAGAGAGTGTTAAGCTTCCCCTTGCTTTATTTCTGATACTACAAGCATTCCTTTCCTTCCAACACAGTGACCCAAGATTAACAAAACTTGGAATAACCAAGGACACATTTTCTTTGAGACAAACATGAATATTCATGCCATGGTAGATACATAATTTTAAAAGCCATCGTCAGTCTATCCATCCATTCCAGTTCAAGGCATACTGAATACTATATTTAGTCTCCAGCTTCCCAGATATAGCATGCAGCAGAGGGAGAAGAAATATGGGCTGTGTGGAAATTGTAAAGGGATGTATTACACAGTAATTCATGAATCTATTGTAGCTAATGCTGTTATCATGAATCTACTGCTATTTACACTGCTATGATACGCACAGAAGCACTCTGTTCAGTTTTACATATGTAAATTAAACATATAAAACTGTACATTTATCCTTATTAGGCTGTGAAATGTTATGACTCAAATGTGACAAATAAGTTATTCATAGGTAACAGTGGCTATCCATTTTGCACAATTCCCTGCAGACCACAAATACCTTTATAGCCTGATGAATTTCCTGACTCCATGGCAGAATGAGCCAAATAGGTTTTAAATATTTCAAAGCATTTCTGAATAAGATAGTGGAGAATCCATTCCAGATCCTATTATATTCCCCAGAGAGAATAAATAAATAAATAAACAAACAGACTTTTCCATTTTGTTTCTTTCTGGGTTCAGTTTCTTTTTGTTTTGGCTAATCGAAGAAAGTATTGCTTGGCTTTAACAGAGATAAAGAGTCATTTGGGTTAAAAGCCACCCTGATGACTGCCAAAGTCCATCTTCCTGCAATGATACGGAGTTGAGACTGCCTTGTGTAAATAAGTTTTTTATATTTTGTCAGTCAGTATTCTCAGATTTGAAAATGCAAGGCTGGGTTCCCTTATTTGCCACTGAATTTGCTCATGACATAAAGAGGCCCTTAAATACTTTGCATCTCATACTAATATATGGAATGCATATCTCACAGTTCAATGTAATGTATAAAGAATAAAAGGTACTTACACAGTATCATAGGCACGCCCTTGAAATGTCCCAGGCATTCAAGAACTTATCCTAGGTAATGGAACAAGTTCAAGAAAAGGAAAGAAATGTGGAATTGATGTCAGCGATCTGTTCAGTTTGGTAAAAGAGCTAAGTATCAGAGACATTGTGATCCTCAAAGTATTATGAAATTAATCATTATCTGTTCTCTGGAAGTTCAGCTTTTCCTGTTTGTTCTAGGATTGGGAACACTACACAATGGAGGAACTGTTAATCAAGAGTTACTAAATAAGCAGAGAAATTAGATACTCCCGGGTAGTCATCTCAATCTTTTAAAAGTATTTGTTTATGGCCAGTGGCCCTAAGAGAATATTAAGCTTGAATGATGTTTGATTCAGTCTAGGATGGGCATTCTCTAAATCTTATGGTATGTAAGAATAAGCCATTTTTCCTCCAAGACATAAGTTTGAAAAGGGTAATTGGGAACCATTACAAACTTTTCTCCTATACAAAATACTTCACTCTATTTGAGACATTAAATTGTGCTTCAGTGCTTTTAGTAACACAGTGTTAGATAGCATATGCTGAAACACGTTATTATGTTGAAATGTCATATTAAGCTAACTTCTGAACAAGATATAGAAGCCAACTTGATAGGACTCACAACAGAACTGCCAAATGTTTTGACAATGTTAAAACAGAATGTTTAAACTTCTTTCCCTTCTTCCCCCCCCCCCCCCCCCCCCGTCAGAGATATTCCATTGACTGGCTGCTGTGAAACATTCAGATTTTGATGAAACTTCATTATACGGTAGTACCGTGCTATATATTTGGTTAATGACCTCTAGTGAAGATAACACAGGCTCTAAGTGAACATGTGCTTGCTGGCTAAAACATCTACATGATTTTACCATCAGTTAGGGAAATTTGATAAAACATTTTGTGATAGATGTTGGAGGCTGCCAAATCTACCTACTAGTCCAGTAGAAGTGAAGCTGCTGCAGCTCTGTGTCCCCATGCCCAGCCCACAGGACAGCTGCACATGGATTCCCAATAGGCACACATATGCCTGCCCAAAATATACATATACACTGCTGACCACACGGTAGTACAGACAGAAAATACAGCATACATGCAAACATGAATGGAACCAATGGCTTGATCCTGTCCCTGCTCAATGTCTGACCAGGATGGAAATCCATTGGTAGAATATACATATGTGTGTATATACACATAGGTATAGATACAGATATACGTATATAAATCAACACACAATATGCATCCCTCTAGTAACTGCCTCAAACACCCAGCCTAGCCTGTAGCTGACCTCCACGTCCCAGGTCACCCTGATTCTGGCATCCTGTATCCCACAACCCCACTTCAGCTACAGGTACTCAGATTTACACACATGCAGACACATAAATACATGGGCCTTTTGGATCTGGTCTAGATCTATGGTCTTTGAAGTAGCTAGCTCTTGAATTTGTGGTCTCCCCAGTAGCTGGCTCCTAGACCCCTTTAGCCTACATGACAGCTTCTCTAGTTGTGTTTACTAAAGAATTACACACGTATAAACACATAGGATTGAAGTTACACAGGGAAACATACGCACACCAGTTGTCTCCTGTTGGTGGCCTCTTAGATCTGTGGTCAACTGTGACCAAGGTCCCTTCTCCAGCTGCTGCCATTTAGATTTCCTCATACATACATAAATACATATATAGATACACACACACACACACACATATACTCACACACACACAAGTCCCTCTCCTAGGACAATACTTTGAAATGGATATTAATAATAAGTCGTAATTGGGTGCAAAGCTTCATTAGGCAGGTGTCACCAGCAATAGGTCTATACCCAGCTGGCTCCTTTTATCCAGTTTTCACTGTATTTTCACATTTACACCTTTCCAATCCAATCCACCTTGTTTCCTCTCTTTTCCTCACCTCCATGCCTTCTCCTTCCACAGCCCTGGGAGAAGCCAAGATGTTCCTTTTGCCTTGGATAGGAAACCAGGAAACCTTATAGCTGTTGTTACTCCTTGTCAAAGCCTCATACTCCTTGTCAAAAGACACAAGAAACCACCTAGAAGTAGTGGAAAAAGTCTGGGAAATGCTGATCTACTGATGTACATCTAATTATAGTGAATAATAATCCTGGAGGTTTTAGCTGTCCCCAAGGCATAATCAGGAAAAAACACTTTGCAAACTTTTATCTACTGACAAAATTCCTTATGCTATTTACGCTAACACACAGGCTTTTGCTTAAAAATTAAAAATGAAACAGCAAGTGAAAGAAATATATGTACAAAATACGTAATGGATAATAGTTTCTTTGAAATTCTTTTTCATTCAGTGTCACAGTTAACTGATGTCTTATGAGCCACCCACCAGCTGATTTTTATGTAATCGCTGAGCTCATCTCACAGTTTGGAATTCACCCAAATCGTCATATACTTTATAAATTCATTGATCCTGAGCTACCATCTCCAACCTTTTGAAATGCCAGGCCTTCTTGTTTTTGCCATCTCTTTCCATTATCCAATTAACGACCACTTTTCATTCAGTAAAGTGATTCTAATCCACTTACGTCTGACTACATGTATTCTTTGCAGTTTGTGGAATAGAGGGTCAGATCTTAATCTTGTGTAAATAAGAAAAATTCAAGCAAAACTGAGGAATACCATGATGTCAATGATTTTAGACTTCTTTCTACCTAGTGAGGACAAGGCCATGATATGTCACTTTTTTTTGTACTGAATTTTCCTTTTTTTTTTTTCCCCCTTCACGGAGAATAATAGTGATCTAGTAGTAAAATAGCTTACCATCTTTCTTCTATATTCTGTATTGCTCTTAACTCTGTTTCCTGGAAATTAAGTCTACCACCTCATGAATCCTGAATATTCTGCTTGGATTTTCTATCAAATTCTACTCTTGGCTGCATTGATTTACATCAAAAATAATTATCCTGATTATTAAATGTGATATACATTGTGCTACTAGGAGATTTTTTTATTTTATTTTATTTTATTTTTGGAGGGGGGGGCAGGACAGAAAATTAAAATTACAAAATTGTGTCTGATAGCTGTTTAAAAACTCTTCTTGTTTACGTAAAGGAAGAAGACACCATGAAAGTAAAACAAGCAAATTGAAACTGTAAAATTAAAGAATTTAAGTCCTAAGTCCTGGTGAAAGACTTAGATAAAAATATGTATAATTTAATAGGCACATTCAGAAGAAATTCACAATAGAACAACACAAATGGCTATTTCTGAAATCATAAAAAAAGCACAGACAGGTGAGGGAAGTCCTTGTAGCAATTGCATTTAAAATATGAATTTTCTATAATTTATTTGTAGCTTTACTATTTCACATCTGATTTGTCTTTCTTCTCTTTCTTCTTTTTCTTTTATTTCTTTATATGCTTATAGCTTTTTTATTCTTTGGATATTTTAAGACATATCTGACCTTTAGAATAATTCATTTATTTTGAAGGTTGTTCTGTATTTGTCACAATACATCTGAAGCATTTAACATTTAAAATAAGTTTTACTTTTGATGCCTAGCAGGAAGGAGAAGGAAAAAAAAAGGAAAGAAGAAAAAAAAAAAAAAAAAAAAAAAGCAAGCTGTGGTTATGTTGTTGTGTTTGACAATTGTTTTTTATTTCTAAATATGCCAAGTCTAGATTCTGTAGAATGAATGGCATTCTGCAGTTGTTCTCATCAGTGTCTCTGTCTCATGGCCTGTTGAAATTTTTTAAACGTTCTTACAAAAGTGCCAGTATTCATTCAGTTTTGTATGTTTACCTTTTATATCAGAATTTATATGGGACTCATCCCTTTCTGCACCCTAGTAAACTAGATAGCAATATGGTATCTGCTCAAAAGACCTACAGTATGTAGTATGTACATTCAGCTTGAGCTCAGGTGTATGGGGGAGCACAACAGAGTAATGAAATGTGAGTTGATATATAAATCATAATATCAGCATATTTTAAGCATAATTATTGCAAAAATATGAAAACATTATTTTCTAAGAGACCACTAATGAAAGAATGAGTTCCAGAGGTGAGCTAGTGCCCTTGACATAATGTCATCTCTGATAGTTTCAATACCAGCCCTGAAAGCTTTACATCTCTTTACAACATTCCCTGGTTTTGAGGTTTTATTTTCCAGGTAATCGATCCTACAACTTTTTCCACTCATAAACATGCCAGAAGACACTAGCAGAAAACAAATCTTCCACTCCAGGGTCTCTCAGTCACGAACCCTCATGGGTTCATTCTGGATTTACAGAGTAGGAATAACTCTGATGTTCTTGTACTTATTAGTTACTAACTGGGCTTGAAACGAGAAATTATACTTATTTCCTGGAATTTCCTGAGTACAATAAGCAGGGAGACTCTGTTTTAACTCTCTCAGTATTACATTGTATACTAACTGTTGGTTCTGAATCTGCTGACTGGCTTCACTGCTCAGTTGACAGTAGTGCTTGGTAAAAATCAGTTTTGGTAAGAAATACCTAATGGAGTTATTCAGACCCAACACATAATGGCTAAGAAGGCAGTACCAATGATAACAAAACCAAGTGTTTTTTCCACCACACATCTTATTGCATCTATATATATTTTTTTTGATTTGATAAAAGCACACACATTGATGTGGGATAAGCTCACGTCACTTAGACTGCCCCTAAGGACAACAAGGAGATAGAGAGATGGGGCAGGAGGTACCTTTGAGACTGTTGCTCTTGCAGTGGATTTCTAGGAACAGGGACGTATCCATAGGTCAGAATATTCAGGTCAGGTTTTGACCTGAATTAGTTGGAAGGTATAGATTTTATTGAGCATATCTGGGAAAGCAATGGGAATATAAACTGAGAAAATCTATTAATAAACTCCCTATTTAGTGCATTTCTGGACTAAATATATTACATCATACACTATCAGATCACTCAGGGGATTATGTCTTCGCATTCTAGACTAATGCAATGCTTGTTACACACTAGGAACAGAGGTGAAGTCTTGAGAGACATGGGATTAGACAGCTGAAATCCATAGAAGCCTA